AACAGTAATCTTGCAAAATGTTATTACAATATAAAATAATGGTTTCTATTTTAATATCCTTTAAAATATAATTAATTTCAGTGATGCAAAGCTGAATTTCCTTCAGCCATTACTCCAGTCTTCAGTGTCACATGATCCTTCAGAAAATATTCTAATATGCTGATTTATTATTAGAATTATCAATGTTGGCAACAGTTGTGCTGCCAAATATTTTTTGGGAAACTGCGATACTTTTTCAGGATTCTTTGATGAATGAAAAGTTCAAAAGAACCGCATTTATTCAAAATATTAATCTTTTCTAACAATATAAATCTTTGCTATCACTTCTTAACAATGTAACGCATTCTTGCTGTATAAATGTTTAATTTCTTTCAAAAGAAGAAAGAATAAAAATTTACTGACCCCAAACTTTTGAACGGTTGTGTATATTGTTAGAAAAGATTTCCATTTTGAATAAATGCTCTTATTTTTTACTTTTTATTCATCAAAGAATCCTGAAAAAAATATTGCAGTTTCCAAAAAAATATTAAGCAGCACAACAGTTTCCAGCACTGATTTTGACCGGTTGTGTAGATAGATATATTATACAATATATTGCGTTTTATATATATATATATATATATATATTATAAAAATTCATAATAAAATATTTTACTTAAAAATATATAATTTATCATATAATAATATAATAATGTATCAACAATTAAAATATTTGTTAATATTTTTTATTTATAATAATAATTTATAAATCTAATAATTTTATATTAATAGCTTTATTTTATTATTATATGCTATTATTTACATATACATACTGTATATTGTTGCTTTGGTTAAAAATATCTGCTTAAATGTAAATTAATAATTAGTGTTTTATTATTAATAGCATTATTATACATTAATATTTACATAAACATTAGTGTTGCTTTGTAAAAAAAAAAAAAAAAGCACTTGCTACATGCATAAAATGTAAATGAATAATTAGTGTTTTATTAATATTAATTCCAATATTATACATTATTTACACATACATGATCACGTTGGATAAAAGTGGCTACTAAATGCATAAAATATCAATTATTTTATATATATATATATATATATATATATATATATATATATATATGTTATTTTTTCAAATAGAGCTAATTATGAACACTTAAGACTAACTGTAATTATAATTTTTTTGAATTTTTAGAATTAAAACAACATATTTACAGTCCTTTTAAACTCTTCTTGTGAAGTAAATGAGGTTAAACTAACATTCCTCATCAGTGAATGTCAGTGCTGCGTCACTGGTGCATTATGGGTCAGTGTGATCGGTGTGTAAGCGTGTGGCCGTCCGGATGAGCCGCGCCGCCTCTGCTAGCCTCACTGAAACATTTGCTTAAGTCATCTAGCTCAACGCAGTGTCTGTGTGTCAGGGAGAAGACGGTGATCATTACACTCCTTCTCACTGTTGATTGTCATTAGAGCCGGCGGTTTGAGGTTGTGATTGCTTTTGTAGAGAGTGCAGCTGTGCAAATGTGAGGTTATTGCAGGTAAATCTGCTTGGGCTCTGGGAATCATCCGCCAGGTTTCCATCAATGCATCGTTTGTTTGACGTTTCCCCACTGTCAGCTTGTTTCAAATGTCCCAGAAATCCCTCATTTCCATTTTAGGAATCCACGAAATACATCTATCCATCGAAAAACACACTGAGAGGAGATTTAGAAATGGAAATCAGGCCATTTCTAATATTATTATTGATATAATTCAGTATAGGTTTGGGTTTAATTATCACATAAATTACGTTTCATTTCTCGGAAGTGAAAATAAATGCAAATTCAGTATCAATATATTATTTTGTTTTGCATCGTGAATAATAATTTGGGCTAAATTACGTTAAATGTCACAAAACCTCCGAAATAAAAGTGAACACCGAATTGAAGTGCAGTATCAGTAAATTCATATTTAGTGTTTTATGATGAATAATAAATTGTATGTTAATATAAGTGAATTCTATGTTGCTGTAATTTATGTAATGTTTGATATAATATGATGATGTTTGTTATACATACAAGGATCAAATGACAAGATTGCAATTCTCTGTTTGTTGTGCAGCTTTTTGTCGGACTGTCCTTCCCGTACGAGGGTCCCGCCCCTCTGGAGGCCATAGCCAATGGCTGCGCTTTCCTCAACCCAAGGTTCGACCCGCCTAAAAGCAGCAAAAACACGGATTTCTTCAAGGGCAAACCCACACTCAGAGAGGTACTTCATTTATGTTTGGTTATTGTTATGTTGCTGAGGTTTTATTGTGGTCAGAATTGTGGTTTGACCTTTGACCCCAGCTGACCTCCCAGCACCCTTATGCTGAGGTTTACATCGGACGGCCACATGTCTGGACCGTCAACATAGATGACCCAGCAGAGGTGGAGAACGCCATTAAAGCCATCCTCAGTCAGAAGGTACACGCACACACGCAGATTCACATGCACTTCCTGATTATTTCTGAAGACTAAAAAGCGTAAAATGCATAAAAATTAGACCTAATTCATAACTAAATCCAGCATTCAGCAGAGAATCTCCTCACAGGTCATTTTAAAATATTCTCATGTTGTTGCTCTGCAGCCTGAAATGAAGACGGACAGTTTTTGTTTTATCCAGCTGTATTCACTCAGTGCAGCTTATGACATCCAAGAGAAAGATATAATAGCAATATGTCAGAAAAAATGTATAAACAATCACCGAGTTGGAAAAAGATCACACCCTTGTGTCCGTATTTTGTTGAACCAGCTTTTGCTTTAAGATGATAAGTTCAGATCAATTTGATGGTGAGCGTTTGTGGACTGCAGGCTTCAAGTCCTTCCACAGATTTTCAGTCTGGGCTCTGACTAATACATATGTGATATACATCATAGGCTAAATTGACATTAAACATCACATAAATGACATATTTCAGACCTCAGAAGTGAATTCTTTGTTCATCTTATTTTGCAGAATATTATAATAGAAAAAGGAATATAAATGTCATGTCAGCATATTAATATTTTGTTTTACATGATCAATTAACAATAATAATAATAATAATTATTATTGTTTAATATAGGCTTTGGCTAAAATTACAATATTAAAAATAAAGAATCTAATAAATCAAATAAATTTCACATTCAAGCCCTCAGAAGTGAAAGTGAATTATTTTGGTTATTTTTACATAATATTTTATATTATTTTAAATATTATTTGTGTTATTTTACATAATATTTAATATATTATCGTATACAGAAATAATAGTGTTTATTGTAAATAAAATGAATAAATATGATAAATAAATATAATATCACTATATCAAAATTATTATTAATAATAATAATAACACATTTTAAATAAGGAATAGAAATATAGTATAAAAAAATGATATTTTAGGAATATTATTTTTATTTTAAGAATGTTTTATTTTAGGAATATTAAATTATTTTTTAAATATTTATTTTATTTGTTGTTACTTGTTTTTTCAAATAAAAAAAAGTATTATGGTTACTTCAGGCTACAGACTGCTTCAGACTAATGCAAGCCCTATTTTGTATTTTTATAGTTGAAAAATATATATATATTTATGAGCCATTTTCTCACTGAGCACTTCCTTTAAAGGCGTTTTGGTCCATTTTGTGGATATTCTTCAGTAAATTTGTCCTTTATGTATGGCTTTAAGTGTAACAAATCTAGACACACGTTTAAGCTATGCTACATAAATGAGGACATACTGAAGTCTTATGTTGTTTTTATATAAATATAATTATTACAGATTAGCCCAAACCATAAATATACATTTACTAAACACAATTGACGTTGTTTAATAATCATCTGTATCATTAAGGAGGTCCAGAATGAAAGCCTGCAGGTTTTGCCATATTCAGCTCACTTCTGGGAGCAAACTATAGTGAAGCACATACACACTTATAAGCAGTGTCATGTGACGTGTGATGTTTTGTTTCAGATCGAGCCGTATCTGCCGTATGAGTTCACCTGTGAGGGGATGTTGCAGCGCGTCAACGCTTTCATCAAGAACCAGGTACCTTTGACTGTGTGTTGTGGACATTTAAGGTGTGTGTGATTCGTTCCACTTCACCTGTTAACACACGATAATCAGACCTGACATACCTGTATCTGTCATGCAAAGAAAACACGCTTGATCTGTAAAGAAACACGTGTGTGTGTGTGCTTGTGCGTGTGTGTGTGCGTGCGTGCGTGCGTGCGTGCGTGTGCGTGTGCAGGATTTCTGTCATGGTCAGGTGATGTGGCCTCCTCTCAGCGCCATGCAGGTCAAATTGGCTCCGGCTGGTAAATCCTGCAAGCAGGTGTGTCAGGAAGAGCAGCTGATCTGTGAACCCTCTTTCTTCCAGCATCTCAATAAAGACAAGGATCTGTTCAGGTACAAACGCTCCATCCAGACAACAGAGGGCAGTGCTGCACTTCACAGGCCCTTTATTTCTCCTTTAGCATTCAAATTCTCAGTCTGTTTACTCGCTCCTGCTGAGGTGTGGTGGGATTTGACTTAAATTACCCAAAATTTGCATCAGATTTTGACTATTTTTGTAAACAACTTGACCATGGCTCTAATTATTAAAAATGTATCAAATTAATTTTATCCGTGAACTTCATGCAATGTATTTTTGGCTATTGCTACAGATATACCCCAGCGACTTAAGACTGGTTTTGTGGTCCAGGTTCACATATGACCATGATTTTTGGTGATCTCATGTCACGTCCTCAAGCATTCTCTCTTTGGTTTCTTTACTGCAGGTATGGTGTGGAGTGTAAGACGGTGGAGTCCACCAGCGATATCGTCGTCCCCGCCTTCAGCGAATCGGTTCGGCATTGCGTGTTCCAGTCGGACCTGCTGCTGTTCAGCTGCGCCGGGGCCCATCAGTCCCTCACGCGCATCTGTCCCTGCAGAGACTACATGAAAGGACAGGTGGCGCTGTGCAAGGACTGCTTATAACACACACGCACGCGCACACCACACACACTTCAGCAACCCCAAACGACCAAACTGGCGGTTCATCCCCCGCCGTACCGGACGGGACCGGACTATTACATAGCGCAGTGCTGACAGAGCCAGTGTTGTAATGTGCGGTGATTCGAATTAAAGAATTCAGAGGAATTCAACTCTTGTTTTATTCCCATAAACTCACAAAAAAAGAAAGAAATGGAAACGCTGGAGTGCGGCAGCTCTCGGCATTCGGCCGAAAAAAAAAAAAAAAACGAAGGATGGAAAGAGAAGAAAATGATTTATTTTGCTGGATTTTTTTTTGTTTTTGCACAAACTTGAACTAGTTTCAGGCTGACATACTTGAAGCGGATTGCAGGGAATCAGAACTGTACACTGCCCCCTGCTGGCATGGAGGAAACACTGTAGTGACGTTTATTAGCCCAGTTCTTCATTCTACTGTTTTTGTTTATTTGTTTTTCTTTCTTTCTTCTCTCTCTAAGGGGACTTTCATCATTGGACCAAGTCTGACAACTGACTCTGAAAAGCATCTTTGACCATTTTGAAGACTCAAACCGGAGTGCGTGTTTATTTGTGTGTGCGAGTTCGCTTGTAATTGGGGAAATGGAGAAATTTCCCCCGTTTTACACTGTAACTGGACTTTCCATGTACTGGCTCCGTGAAATGACGCGCTCACATGTAAATAGCAGGCGCTGAAACGTAAACACACGGTCCGCTTTATTCTGCATGGTAGTTTACTTGTTAACAGCACATGCCAACACTGGGAATTTTCAGTGTTGGTCACAATCCACGTTAAATATCGCAGTACTGCACCAGTCAACTGCCAGGTGGGATTTATTAGAGAAATACACACGTCGCAAACCAGCCAGTATGAAGTAGAACGCAAGCCAATTGACCAAACTAACCGTTAAAGTAGTAGACTGAATTCAGCTAAATTGGGACATATTTTGCTTTCGCGTTAATTGGCAAAAAGTGGCCAAGTTTACCTGAATGAACATTATATCACGGGTTTCAGATGATCTGTATGTGGATAAGGTAAATACCAATACAATCACAGATATTTCTGTAAAATTTTATCTTTATTTGTATAAAAAAAGAAATATATATCTGTATAAAAACAAAGTGTACATTACTAGGATAAAAAATATTTTTTGTGTGTGTTAAAAACACAGATTGGCCTTGGCTTTTTGTTTCATTTTTATTTTGCGCGATATTCTTGAATTTGCCTGCTTATTATCGAAAAACGTCAAAATTAGAATTATTTGTGTTTTGGAATGAAACTGCACTATAACGAAGATTTGACATCAGATATTACGACACTGTATAATTGTTTTAAAGTTTGTTTTTTAATTTATTTTGTATACAGACCTTTATCTCTGCTTGTTGACTTTTATGTGACTATTTATAGAAGAGAAAATTCTTTATAGAGGGAAATGTTATTTATCAGACTAATTTAAGTATATGCGCATATGCTTGTCCAGAGTACTGTCTGAAAAAAAAATATGAGCGGCAGAACTAAATTTAGTTTTATTATTAAGTTAATATTGGAAAGGGATGTGTTTCTGTATGTTTCTCTCTAGATAGAAATATAAAAGATATTTTGAAGAATTTTGGTAACCGTACAGTTGACGGTACCCATTGACTTCCATAGTATTTTTTTCCAAACCATGCAAGTCAATGGCTACCGTCAACAGTTTGGTTACAAACATTCTTCAAAATATCTTTTGTGTTCAACAAAAGAAGGAAACTCAAACAGGATTGGAACGACTTGAGGTTTAGTAAATGATGGCAGAATTTTATCCCTTTAAATTATTTGTAATTCTTTAACTACAAAGATTCAATAAAAAATAACTGAATACTTAACTACAAAATTAAGTTTAATTTTTTTTTTTTATAATTTAAAAATATATAAAACGTAAAGTTTTTGCTGTAAAATTTGACTGAATGTTATATAAAAATAGTATAAGTGAGAAAGTGAAAGTGAAAGTGACATGTGGCCAAGTATGGTGACCCATACTCGGAATTAGTGCTCTGCATTTACCCATCCAAAGTGCACACACACAGCCGTGAACACACACCCAGAGCAGTGGGCAGCCATTTATGCTGCGGCGCCCGGGGAGCAGTTGGGGGTTCGGTGCCTTGCTCAAGGGCACCTCAGTCGTGGTATTGAAGGTGGGAGAGAGCGCTTTCCATTCACTCCCTCCATCTACAATCCCTGCTGGTACGAGACTTGAACCCACAACTTTGGGTTATGAGTCCGACTCTCTAACCATTAGGCCACGACTTCCCATATATAGCATATGCATAACATAACATCAAGCGTATAGCATAACATCTCATAATTTCTTTTATTGTCAGTACTCTGGACAAACATTGTGAACACCGTTTAATTTCAAAAGCCAGCAAATCCTCATTTGATGTTTTTATCCAGTGTATGATTTCTGTACACATTTGCACATTTGTAAATATAGATGGGTCTCTTCTAGTTTTCCACTCTTTAACTTATACGATAGTTTTACGTTTGCGTTTCCGCTCTTGTCGAGATCTGTACGTTTGTATGTAAAATGATGGTCTTCAGCCAAGCTATTGTTTCATCTTGTTTCATGAGGTGCCTTCTGATGGTTACTAGAACTGTCTGGTTTGTTTTCCTTTACGAAATAGCAAGCGCTGGAGGTGAAATGCTGACTAGCTAAAAGCCGAAATAGTAGTTTAATAGCTGAAATACGAGTTGCTCAGCATTTAGCGCAAAATAGTCTTGCCAAACGTTTGGTGGTTGTTGACACGCAAAATCACACAATCAGACTAATATATGTCTAGATGACTAAAGTCACTACATTTGGTTTACAGTATGAAGGATTGCCACCGTTTTGAAAGTGTTTGTTTTCGTACAGCTTAGCTGTAGCTATTCATATTAATGACTGTCAAATGTTTTATTGAAAATATTAGTCTATTAAAAATCATGGCCAGTAATTCTTACCTACTAACTACTGCAAATATGTTGGAAATATTTTTTTTTTTTTTTTTTTTTACAATTCTGGTTTACATTGCTGTTAATAATAATTGCTTTTGTTTTGTTTTAAATTGAAAAGCATTCACATATCATTTGTAAACTGATTAACCCTGATGGGTTTGTTTTTTAAGTTGTTCTTGTGTTTTGGGGGGTGATTTACATTCGTTATGATGGATTTTAAGACATTCATGGGGGGGGGGAAAAAAACCCGGACAGTTTGGATCAGTAGGATATATCTTTATTTTTCAAATAAACTTTTTTTTTTCTGTGACAACAGACATTTCTGTGTAAATATACATGTGTACTCCACAGCAACATAGTTGTATATACATTCATGTATCACATGACATTCAGCCCAACGTAGATTTACATCGGCTTTTGTCAGCATTTGTTCTTCAAGCAATGGTGCGAATTCAGTTTTTTAATCAAATTATGGGCCCAATCTCGTTATTTTTGGGCCTCGGTTTTAAAGGAATAGTTCACCCAAACATGAGAATTTCCTGAAAATTTCAAGATGTAGATGAGTTTGTTTCTTAATCAGAACAGATTTGGAGAAATGTAGCATTGCATCACTTGCTCACCAATGGATGCTCTGCAGTGAATGGGTGCCGTCAGAATGAGAGTCCAAATAGCTGATAAAAACATCACAATAATCCACAAGTAATCCACACCACTCCAGTCCATCAGTTAATGTGAAGAGAAAAGCTGTGTGTTTGTAAAAAACTAATCCATCAAGACGTTTTCAACTTCAAACTGTTGCTTCAGGCCAATATACAAGTCCCCTCTATCCATAATATTGCTTTCTCCAGTCTCGTCTGAATCATGAGAGAAATCTGCACAGATCAAGCACTGTTTACAAACCAAAATAGTTCTAAACTAATTATTTTGGTGGATTTTGATGTGAAAAGACAGATTTGTTTTTCAGACATTAACTGATGGACTGGAGTGGTGTGGATTATTGTGATGTTTTTATCAGCTGTTTGGACTCTCATTCTGACGGCACCCATTCACTGCAGAGCATCCATTAGTGAACAAGTGATGAAATGCTAAATATCTCCAAATCATAAACAAACTCAACTACATCTTGGATGGACTGAGGGTGAGTGAATGCTCAGACATTTTTGGCTGAACTATTCCTTTAAGTGCTAATCACACGTCTACATGTGGTTTTAGCAACTGTGCAAAGAAAGTCTCATTTGCAGGGACGTGTGCTTATGTCTAGTCCCTCTGCCAAGGGCTCAAAGTACTTAACATGTCAATAAAGAACAGAGCGGGGAATTCGACCACACACCTGAAAAAACAGCATAAGTCATACACTTCTCCAAAAGCACAAACGTTGCTTTTCACCGACAATCGAACTATGAACTGCCACTGAATAGCACATACGCGGTTGGACCGGCTGTAATGTCACTGTTACGTCCATCTGCTCCACGGAGCTACAATATATTTGCTACATAAAATGCTCAGAAACTCGGCTTTTCCCAAATACACAATTAAACTGCCAAATTTCGTGGCAAAATTACAACAGTCTAAGTAATACTTTAAAACATATAACTTCACATCATGAAGGGTCAAGTTTTAAGGCTTTGTTACCGTGCGAGTAACATTTGTGTGCCATTTAATAAGTACAAGTTTCACCAAAAGCTATATGCAAGGCTAGATCAAACTATAACAAATGACCGTCACAGAGTTTTACTGTTTCAATGGAGTGCGAAAGATGAAATTACATAATTACTTTATTTAGGTCTAGCAAACGAAGCGGTTTCTAGCAATTAGTATGTTGACTTGGACTAGTGCTCTTTAAGTACTGAAAGATTCGTCATGTATTATGTTTTGAGTATGTTACAATAGTATTAGATATGAAAATGCCCCGTTTGTTGAATATTATACTTTAAAGTTCATGTAGATGATTCAATGGCACGTTTAACAAGGAAAAAAGAATCAAATTAAAATTTTAACAAGGTCCCTGTGAAGAAAACAACTTTGAGTCTTTTTATTATCTACAAAAATGTAGTTCCAGCACCCCTTCCGTTTATTTTGGCATAACTTCAATTTGTTCACTTTCAGAGTGATCTATACTTGATTTTATATGATGTTTTTGGCTTTTCCACTGTGGCATTTTATTGACATTTCTGTAATGAGAACTTGCGAAATCGAATGTTAGACAACGAATGAATTCTTGAGTCATTTTAGTCTATTTCTTCATTGTTCGTGTGAAAATTTTACAAGTTTTCACAGATGCAACAAACATTTTTACTAAAGAACTACTGAAATAAATAGAAACTTAATTTAAACAAACTAGACAAAAATGACAATCTTTAAGTTTACCTGATAAACCTCTTCCCTCTTAACCTGGACGTTTGAAAATGTTGAATATATTTGTAATAACCTGCACAAATCATACCTAAAAAAGGTCTCTCACCCATTATACAGATACCTATAAATACCAACATATAACTCAATGCAATGAAGCTGGGTTTTATATATCAGATGATATACATTCTGAGATGTGTCTTGTTTCAGCCCCATGGCTCTTTGCGATAATACACATTTTATATTTTCAATTTCAGTTGTTCCCTTTCAGATCCATATTTACAGGGGGAATTAGTGGCTGTGTTTGCCCTGAGGCAGTGTGTGTGTGTTGTGTTATGTTGTGTTGTCCTCTCAGGAGAATCTCCACAGGAGTGTTTCTGTGTGTGTTGTGTCGTCCAGAATCAGAATCGCTACTCGAAGCGCTCGTAATGTCTCGTCTGCCTGACGCGGGGCACCATGTCCTTTAACAACCTGACCGAGAAAGAGAAAGAAAGAAAAGAGTAAGTTCCTTCATTTTCACATCAGGCAAGACATTTTAACTAGCTAACTTTAGAGGTCAGAGCCGTGGCCAAGTAATTAGTGCATATGTGGCAATATTAAAAAAAATATATACTTTAAAGTTCTTGTAGACAATTAGAATGTTTTAAAAAAGGAAAAAAAGCTTTTTCACATGAGTTTTATCATCTACAAAAATGTAATTTCAACACCTATTCAATTTACAGGATTATTACAATTAAAGGGGTCATATGATGTTGCTAAAAAGAACATTATTTGGTGTAAGGAAATGTTTGTTTTAAGGTTCAAAAAACATTATTTTCCACATACTGTACATTTTTGTTTCTCCTCTATGCCCGCCTTCTGAAACGCTCGATTTTTAAAAAGCTCATCGGTCTGAAAAGCGAGGTGTGCTCTGATTGGCCAGCTATCCAGTGCATTGTGATTGGCTGAATACCTCAAGCATGTGACGGAAATGTTACACCCCTACCATACTGTGATGGAGCGATAAGACAAAAACATTAAAAAACCCATTACAAACGAGGCATTTGTTGCATCCAGTGGGGACATAATTACGGATTATAATGACTTATACTGTCTTTT